AGATAGGAAAGACTGATATCGGAAGCTATGTGAGATGACGTGAAATAGCAATCACCATGGCTCGGATATAAAAACATCCCCGGAGGGATTTAAACCTTTTAGCTGCACTCAACACATTTTTTTTCCCCGATGACAAAGTATCTATTCTTATGACACAGAGTTTCTAAACTGCATATTAAGAAAGACTGTTGTTGATTTAGACTGATTTTTCTTGCCAGCATTGGACAGACTTCATGATACTAAATTTTTTCCATATCCCATCATAAAGGAAGGAAATGTTGTACTAAAATGATAATGGATAGTTCCACTAAAAGACAAGGCAAATTCAAATGCACAGATAACTGAAAGCAGGGGAAAAAACTGCTTATGTTTCTGATAAAACACAAATATTCTTATGATAATCCTGGGAATTCTGTGAAGCTTGTTACTTAATCCTGACAGAAATATAAATATTTAGAAAGAGTTTTTGCTATCACACTGCACTAAGACAAATGCAAGAAAACAACTCAATGTCAATAAAGTGAAAAATATTGGTCCTTTGAAAACATAATATTTATTCCTCCTTTGACGTTCAGCTAGTGTAGCTCAACACATTACAGCTGCTTTCAGAGGGATTCTGAATCAACTTACCCTTACTCATTGTAGTCTATCGTTTGTTGGTTTGTAATGAAAAAAGAATATAGCCGAATGGGTTTGGGAACAGCAGAACTGCCTGTGCCCTGACAAAGTCAGCCTGGAAGCAACAAGAATCCTGCATCTGCCTTTGCAGGATACGTTTTCAAAACACGGACAGGAGGAGGAGCTATTAGATCTATCTGATATGAACCATTTTGACCTTTTTTTAATTAATGCTCACATGTCAGATATGATAAGTAAGCTGGAGAGTCTTTACACAGTGGCTGTTCGCTAGGTCATCCATAGGAAATAATCAGGAGAGCTGGGTGCTCAACACATAATCCTGAGTTCTAACAATTTGTACAGAGCAATGAATTAGGAGAAAGGAATCAAAATACATCTTCTGTTGTTTTATAATTGAAGCAGATGTCTTCTTGTAACTCGCAAGAGGGATCTAAAATATATTATAGCAAATTATGGCTCTGTAACCCTGCCATTGTGTTCCCTGGAAGATGGTTTTCATTTGACTTACCAGAATAACTATTCCATTACGCAGTGGCCCCATGGTCTGCACAGTTTCTCTATCATCGTCATTCCGATATTCCCACTCCACACCCATGTCAATAAATACTTTAGAGTCTGGCACATAGTTGTCTTCACTTAGAATGAATTTCCCCGTTTCACGATTTTTAATTGCTAGGAACAACACAAAAACAGTGAATACGAGAGGTTCGCTTCTCATCTTGAGTTTTGTTCTGCTCTTGTCCCAGCGGAAGAAGCAGAAAAGGTCAGTGTGCATTTTCCCTCTGTTCCCTCACAGGTTTGGAAAGACTTTTTCAGGTGTTTCACTGAACTGCCAATGCTTTCCTGCTCAGCTCCAGAAACATCAATCGTCCCTTTTTTTTTTTTCTTTTTCATACCCTGCCTTGCCAGAGAAATGAGGCCAGCACGACTGCACCGCATGCGTCCGTCTGTCTGCTCCCGACTAACAGCTTCTGAAAACACTAGCCAAATCCAAGCCAATCTGAGAGCCGGTGGGGGTCCCATGGCCACTCAGCTCTTTCACATGTTATAAGGCAGCGCAGGGGGCTGTTACTGCTCCATGAGAGAAAGGCTACTGGGCTAACTCCCAGTGGGTCCTCCCCACAGCGAGAGAGAAATGCTAGAAACTGTATTAATTCTCCTGCTCAGACCCAGCCCTGACACCAACACAGCCCTGCTTAAGCTCCTGTTGCTTTGCAGGCACCTGCCATTGCACACAACGTCTGATTCCTCTGGTTCAGTCTGCCATCAATGCCCCATCCTTCACCTGGAGTGACTTCAGCCACCTTTGTATTAGGACTCTTGGTTTTCTCCCAAGATAGAAAATTTGCTCTCCTCGTTAGAAGGAGCAGGGACTGTTTGCTATGTAACACCAGATTTTAACTCCCTTCTCTCTCTAGCAGCTGCCTGAGCATCCTGCTCCCTCAGCACTGGACTCGACAGACAGCAAGCTGTTTGTGTCCCCTGTGTATCGCTTACCCCACACCAAAAGAAGAACCTTGTCTGACTCGATGAGCAATCGCTCTCCTGATCCATGGGGTCAGGCTGCACTGAGCAGCAAGGGAAGCGTTCACTGGTGAGAAACTGGGATGTCTCACAATACAATTAGCAGGCCATTTGCTGTGAATCTACTTCCAATTAATAACAGCCGACTAGACACTGCTTCGCATTGATTACAGGGCACCTGAGGAGCAGGTTTCAATTACTTTCTAAGCTGTGGGATTGATCGGGCAGCCTTGTGTCAATACTATTAGCAATGGGGCAGAATCTGAAACGGATTTGGATGTAGCTGGGAAATGACTGAGGATGGGAAGCATGTTACAAGAGATGCACACAAAGAGAATGTGTTGCACTCCATAATGTAATTCAACTCCTCTTCCAGCAGCTTTCACCCATGCATAGGCCAGTGCAGAGATCTTCTGGCTAGGACACTGGGGAATACAGCACAGGGAAATTAAATTACCAAATAAGTTTCCTAATTTAACATACTTAAAGGAGGTATGTGGTGTGGGAGGATAATGGGTAAACAAATGCATAAACACATTGTTAGGCTCCAGAGACAAAAATAAACAACAGAAAAAAATACTCTGACTGAAAATTTTCCTACTTGTTACATACTTACCGAGATTATGACTGGTGGTGTCTGTTTCCTGTATAAGTAAATGTCTTGCACCAACAGGAATTTCAAACATCTTAATGTGCCCTTTATTGTAATATTTGAAAAGATAGTAACTGGTTAGTATGCCACAAACAGGAAGAGTCTGTCTTAGGTTTTTAAATAAATCTTATTTTCTAAAAGCAGGGTGTATTACAGCATGCTGAACCTAATCCAGCAACATTCCCATCCCTACTTCTGTGCCAAGTGATGGAACACAGCAGGGACAAAGGGCTTTGGGTAAGAAGAAAAACGCCTTAAGTATCATCAACAGACTTCTCTTCAGACTAAAATGGGCTTCGAGTGCTGTATGCAACCACAGAGAGAGTCTACACAAGATCTTGTCTGACAGTGAGTGAAGATGACATATTATTGCAGTGGACAGAGCAGCAGCACAAATAAGTCCATAGCTCTCCAACAAGGAGCACTGAAGCCCTCCTCTATGCATGCACAGGCCCTGATATCAGCAGACAACTGACCACTGAACGAAAGTCTTATTTTCAAATTCTAGACACATCTTAAAGTCCAGAGAGTTTACTGGAATTAGTGATGCTGTAAATGATTTGTGATTGCCCTGGTACCTTCTATGAAACGGAAGAGATCAAACAAAGATACCCTGAATTCCCCAGGACAAAACACACTGAATGCACTGACCTTGTTTCTTTGGTACTCTTGAAAATGTTCCTTTTACCACTTTGCAGTGGGAATTATCTCCTCCACAAACACCACACTTATCTTCCTGCTTTGTGGAACCTATGACCCTGTCACACCCAACTTTCTGTGCACAAAAGAGAAAAAAAGTCATTATTATTTATCCATGCTTCAATTCAAATGAGCCTTCACTTCAGATATCAAAACCCAGACTTCTGCTTTAGCAAAGAAGTACAAATTGCAGTATTGTCCTGGAAGATCAACATCTAAACAGATTTTAATACTTCCAGTTTCTACAACAACTGTCAATCAGGTGACCATATTTTTATGTTATGCTTCACAGTGGTCTTCTTACAGAAGGAAAGCAGCACGATTAAGGAAAAGCTCTTAAGCCTCAGCTTATCTTAAAGCAGATGCTTAAATTCCGGGAGAATCAAGGCATCTATGTGAAGATAAGCACCTCCACCAGTGCTTTGCTAAGTCAGAGCCTCTAATCCTGTTGAAAGATGACCTGTGGCAGATCCCAACTTAGAGGAACTGTCATTGATTTTTTAAAAATAGCATGATCAAATACAGACAGAATGCACATCAGCTGTATCTTAACATCACTTTCCTTGAAAGCTGCTGCATGTTCCTATTTCATTGTACATTCCACCCTCACTAAACCGCAGCAGGAAAAGCTTTCGTTGAAAGCTAATTGTAATAGTTCATCTTAAAATGCTGCATTAAATATTACTTGTGTAGGTAGGCGCTGTTGGAATTGAGTCACACGCAATGTGATGGCAACTGTGAATATCACACATAATATTGTGACAATAATCCTAATGAAATCTCCTTATTGCCCAAAGCGTTATTATACTTACTTAAATAGTCATTCTTGGAGAGAAAAACTCAAGGTACCATTTTAATTGTTTTCACAATACTAAGCTCTGAAACAAGTCATCAAAAACTTACCAAGCAGTCTCCCCGCACGCAGATGCTGTAAGCGTCTTTGTAGGAGCAGCGGGTCCCATCGTGTACCATCCTTTTCATATACACCACATCCCCTGTTTCCTTTGACTCACAATACAGGTGGCACCTCTCCTTAGCTGAAAAATAAAATGACCCAGATTGTGCGTGTTCAGCTCTAACAGTTTAGTTGCTGACTTTGTGAACAGCACTTTCAATAGTGTTGGCTCTCTCTTCTTCCTTGCATACATCACAGAACACAATATGGTACCCCATAAATCATCGATGCTTATCCCCTTTCAAAGGCTATGTGATCATTTGGAAACTGCTGAATCCTAAAGCATGCATGTGTCATCATTAGGAGACAGTCTTACAAATAACAGATCATTTACTTTGATTGGGCGGGGGCCTTTATTTAATCCTTTGTCAGATGAGGCAATCTGGCAGAGGTTCTGCAGTCTGCTACATGATTACCTGTGAGAGATGCAGGTTTCTGCATCAGTTTCTCCTGTACTGCATTTAAATCTGAAAAAAGCAAAAGTCGTTTTGCCATTAAAAGCAGCCGTTCAACACTGAGTGAATCTGGCATCCAAAATATCTTCAGAGACAGCTGGGCCATACCGTTTCCTCCCAAACATGAAGTTAATTCTCCCTCATTGTTTGTTTTTGTTTTCTGATAGTTTAAATCATTAAACAAGGTGAGACGTCAAAAAGATTCCCAAAAAAATTTTTTTAGTGCTAACACATGCACAAACAGCCAAGCTAGCGTACCTCTTTCACCTAATCTGTTCCAAAGAGCTAAGAACAAAAAATAAAGCTGAAATGACTAGTCAATGGCTGATTAAAGTTGTATTCTACCAGCGTATTTCATTTTACCCATCTCTCTTGCTGTCCCCAGCCCCACAATAGGATTCAGTATGCTTGCCTTGGCAGTGAAAAGCAGATGGCCTTTCTGTTAGATGAAACAAATAAAGATTCTGCTATTTTAACATGATTAAAAGTTGGGACACTTTTCTCACCATTTAAAACAATAACGACCTTTCCGATATAGCAGTTCAATTAAAATAAATCTTCACAGGCCCTTTGCATTCTTCCCCTGTAGAGTTCCACTGCCTTTGCCCTCTTTTAATAAAGTCCTTGTTATTGCTGTTGATGTCCTCAGAGCCAGCGGGTATTGGTACATCAGAGACCTTTGTTACTGCTCCCGAACAACGCAGAAATGTCATGCTAAAAATGTACGGTCTAGACTATTAAAACGAGTACTTTACTTTTTTGTGCAGATTCTTAATAGGTGACTGTTAAGATCATAATAATCACAGACCTAATGTATTTGCATATATTAGAAACATTAACCTATACACAATACAGACATGCACACACCCCCTGCCTATGTACCCACACCCACCCCGTGCATACCATACATTCACTGTACATGACTAAATGAAAATATCAGGAGGTTTGACTTCATGCCAATAACTCTGTACAAGGGCTTTATTTTAGAGAGGGTTCTCTTCCCATTGCTCCATGGGAACAGTAAATGTCCAAGTACTGTTAAATTGGACCCTGTTAATCGCAAAGAATTATTTTCTTTCTGTTCACTGCTGCTGGGGACAGTGGAGGTGCAGGAGCATGGATGTGACAATGCGCCTGTGCGTTCCCTGCCCCCTATGCGTTTCCTTCTCATTTAATCGAGGCTGGGAGCTGATAGCCAATGTCACTCCATACTGCCCTGGCAGATGCATGGCACCAGGGGTACGTAAGCCCGAGGGGACTAGGAGATGAGGTGCTCGGGGGGCTCGGAGCAGGAGACAGGCCATGGCACAAGGCGGCACCAGGGTGCTCAAGCACACCCTGGGGTTTACCCCAGCTCGGTGGCTTTTCTCTGGCCACGGGATGAGATACTCCTCCCTGTCCCCATCACATACACAACGTGTCAGACACATCCAGCTGAGCTGCGTGTGAAGTGCATGGATTTATGTCACTTTTGAGCCATGACTGCATTATCTGCACAAAGTATGGCATTGGTATGTCTTATCTTTACAAAAGGGAGTTTTAAATATATTGGAGTTCAAGCATAAGCCACCCTCTGGCCTTGTTTTCATGCAAAAGCTGTTCCCTCTAATAACCCTGCACAGGTAAATGTAAGTCTAAAGGCAGCTGCAGTTATACCATAGTTAAATGGGAAGCCAGCGGTGCCCAGCGATCAATGCTCAGACATCAGTGAGCTGGTTTCTGACTCAGAAGCCATTGAATTTAATAGAAAAACATCTGATTAGTTTCAGCGCTCTTTAGAGCAGAGTGCTCCAAAGGCTAAAGCAGAAGCAAAGGTCCTGCGGGCCACAGCGTTCATCCCCTCTCCCTGTGCCAGCAAAGCTATTTCATGAAATTAAGCTGTAAGGCTGTGTCTGCGCCTCTGAAAATCCCAGATTGCACAAGATGGCATGAAAAGAATGAGGGAACCCTGAGAACTGTTTGGGAAGAAAGGCAGGCAAATTAATTACAAGGAATTTGCTATTAATTTCTGGCAGAGTATCCTCTCACTGGAATGCAAAATGATTCACCCAAAGTGACCCTTCCCCTCCCAGAGATGGGTGCCTGGCTGAGGAGGGTGCCGGGTACCTGCCCCTTGCCAGGCCAACCCTGCCCTGAAGGACTCGTCATTCATATGAAGTGACCAGGTTTAAAAATAGCGACCGGCCCGCACTGCTCGTCAAACAAGTTGAAAACCATTGCCCTCCATCTTTTTGTTTGTTAAAACCTCTTCTCAGTGTGTTTTCAACACAACGTGGCAATAGCATGACAACAGCCTTCATGGCCCAAATCAAGCAGCTGCCCTTTCATTGACAGTTAAGCAGAGGCATTAACAGGAATAGGAACATTTTTGTTCTAAGAGGCAATCTCTGCTAAGACGCCAGAACATCAGACTGGCCATGCTGGTTCAGACCCAGCACCCATCCAACCCAACACCTGCCTCCTGCAGTGTTTGCAGGAAGATGTAAGAACAAGCCTGACAGTTTTCTTGGAATATTCAAGTTCTTTGTAAACTGCAGCTTGGGGACCTTCCTAAGTCATGGCTGGAGCTTGGTGTTTAAAAGTTCTTAATGGATTATAGAACTTTGAAGAACTTATCTAAAACACTTTTAAAACTTTCTGGCATTTGCAACTTCCTGTGGCAATGAATTCAAGTTTAATGATATGCTGTGTGGAAAAGTACTTCCTTTTATTTGTTTTAAATCTGCCACCTGATAATTTTATTTGATGTTCCAAGGCTTGTATTATGAGAAACAGTGAATAATCATTCCATGTTCAGTCTCTTCATGCTATTCACAATTCTGTAACACTATCTTTTTAATCTAAATCATCCCTTTTTCAGAGTGAAAAGTCCTAGTTTAGATAAACTCTCCTAATTCAGAAGTCACTGCTTATGTTTGCTTTATTCGGGCCTTTGAGTTCAGCTGTGGGGTTTTTAGCAACAGGGGCAGCAGTGAGATGGGCCCAACCTGAGCCACATCGGCAGAGTATTTAAAATGCAGACAGATCATGCAGGTACACAGAGGCAGATCAGTGTTCTCCATCCCTCTCTTGACAGTCACTGAGCTTATGTTTTCCTAAAGCTATCCTCAACTCCCACACCTTTCTCTTCAGAGCCCACCTTGTGTACAGACCCGCACACACATACGCACTTACCATTTTTTATCCCCATATCCATTATTGGCATTTATCAACACCAAACTTCATTTGCCACATTCAGTCACTTAGTGTCACAAAATCCTTCTGCAGCTCTCACAATGGGCCTTCTTATTTTAATCAGCCTGAGTAATTTTGTATTCCAAGCAGATTTTGTCACCTCGTTCGCTCCCTTTCCCTGCTCACTGCTGTGCGTGCTCAGCAGCACCCATGCTCCCAAGCACCCATCCTTGTGGAACACACACTCCTTTTATCTCATGAGAACTCGGTTTAAGAGCAGTTATTGGGGAACAGGGTCCAAAGCTTTTTGAAAATCCAAGTACATTATATAAATTGGATCACTCATACATTGATACTCACTGATCCCTCCAAACAACTCATAACAGATTTGTGAGGCATGATTTCCCTAGAAGAAGTTTTACCCCTCCTTATATAATTTTTGCTCATGTTTGCAACCGATTTTACTTTTCATAGGAAAGACAGACTGCTCACCATCGACGTGTTCATAGGGGAGCCAGTGGTGTTTTGTGTTCTGGTACTCAAAGTAAGGATCCCACTGCCGGCACTGCTCCTCTCTGAAATCTTCGAAGTCCTTAGGACAGTCCTGAGTGTTGCACAGCTGGAACTCATAGCTCGGCCCCATGCACGTCCGGCCTCCGTTAGCAGGACTGTGGTGGGGAGAGAAACCCATGGTTAGTTTTGCCGTTATGCACGCATCAAGCATCTATCAAATCCTTTGAGGAGTAATTTAATTCCCAGTCATGTCAGTAAGCACTTGATGAAGCCAGTGACGTATTTCTGATATGGAAAACACGTATTTTCTTCAAAAACTTGCTGTGACTATTTAGCTCTGAAAAAGCAATTTCTGCAAGTAGAACCTCAAACCACTTGATAAAGGCAAGAAAAGCCATTTTCTTGGTGTGGCCCAGGAAAGGAAAGCACAAACAGACAAAGCGACTCATTCACATTCACCCCCTAAGCCAGCAGCAAATCCAGAAACAGCCCAGCTCAGTGCTGCATCCCCCAGGCAGACGTGCACCAGATCACCATCGGATCTGGCAACACTGAGCTCAGGAGTCATCGCTGGGTTTGCACCCTCTTCCAGGAACACAGAAAACATTTTCAATAGTACATTAGGCTTTTCCTACATGAAAATAGATTCTACAACTTAAACTGTGCCCACAATTATAAAGGTCACTTTCATGTTGCCAATGTAATAAAGGCTGAAATTAGAACTAGTAAAATTTTTTTTAACAGAACAATTTCCATCAGAAAATGCTGCTTCTTAAATTTGACTTTTTTGTTTTAATCAATGATAAGATGATTTTTAATACTAGTCAAGTTCAATCACTTTATCAGCACGAACTGAGAAAGTCAATGTTAAAAATATTCTTTCTGGTAAAATCATTTAATTCTGACAATTGTTTCGGTTCTTGGATCTTCACATTTTATGATATCGTAATAAGATAGCAATAATTATACATTTCATATAATTTGTACATATCAATTTATATTAAATATATTATACTTCTAGTGTTACTGAATTAAGTCATTCTACATTACCTAGATGAGCCATATATAAGTTATCGAAGTAAAATAAATCAATATTACTAAAATTAAGTTTGGGGAAGGTTCTGATCTCTGGAGCTTTGTTCCAACTTGGAATGAAAACAGTTTGAAAATATTTTAAGACCTTTTTGTTGAAAAATCCTAAAAGGTGGATTAAACAAAAATTTTAAAAGGTATACATATACATTTTTCTTAAAAATCCAGTAAATGATTGTCATTATTTCATACTTAAATATTAAAACAAGACATACGTAGGACTCCAAACTTTTACTTATGCTTTATGCAATAGTGTAATAGCACTTTCAAGATCCTTGTAACTGCATAATCAGGTTAATGGACGGATAAACTGAGAAATAAAGATGATTCATGACTTGTTAAGGGCCAAAAGTAGAATTTCTGGCAACATATACTATAGGTCAAATTTAACAAGCACCACCCAACATCCTTTAGTGCATTACTGCACTAGTAATTTAGCAAGGATTCTCACCATTCATTTGCTCCACATCAGAAAAACATATGGGTGTATGTATACTTACTGTGGATTGTCACACTGCCGCGTCCTGTACTTCACCCCGGTGCCACAGGTGCGAGAACAAGAGCCAAACTTGCTCCATGCTCCCCAGTGTCCATCCTGCTTCAGGATGTCTGGTGTTAGCCAGATGCAGTGACCTTTAAAGCAATGCTAAAAGAGAAAAGTAGATGTCAAAACGATCGGATGATTAAATTATAGCATAATTAATAAATAATAAAGCTGTGGTACAACAGATTTAATTTTAGGCACAAAGTCTGGATTTTTTTTCACCTCTCCAGGAGAAATTAGTGAAACTCATTGTCAGACCACGCCCGTGATCACAAACTCACTCGGATTTTTATGAACTTACACATGTTAAGTATGCACATACATGCTTGCAGGATGCAAGCCTACCAAGTTTGTAAAACTGCTCTCAGTATTACATGCCTTCATCATGTGTCTGCAGCAGCGACTTCAATATAACTAACACAGATTCATTTAAGGGAAATGGCAGAGTCCCAAAACTGGGAGGCTAAATGTAAAATTCTGCCTCTGCCATTGCCTGCAGCCGCTTCAGGCAACAACGGCGAGAGCTCCTGCCGCAGCACCGTCCTTCCCAGCAGCTCCGAACTCAGCATATGTATTCCTGCAATAAACGTAGTTAGCGAAGTGGCATGAAATTAAAGTCAGCTCACTTTTTAGACAGTACTGCTATTAAAGAACGAACTCCTGCAGTCTCCTTGGAGATCTCATACTAAACCTGACCAAAATACCAGGAAGCATCCATCAGGGAGCAGCCCTGGACAGTCCCACTCTGCACAATTAATCATGTCCTACTAGGCTTTCTCTTTTCTTTTACCTGATTTTTAACACAGTCATTCTACAGAGGTTGAAACGCATAATTTGCTATGTTTCCCAAACCTATAAGGTATTTACACACTTCTTTAAGAGCCTTCATAGCTTCAGTAGTGATACTCTCCACTGTCATCAAAGAAGCCCGCCAATGCCTTTCCACCAATTTCTTCAGTCTCTAATCAAGGAACAACTTCTTAGCTGAAGTCAGGATGAATTCTTCTCAAGGATCACAGATTCTGGCCCTTTCTAGCACTATTTCTGCTTTCATAAAAGTCTACTGATGAAGTGTGGGTGCTGGAAAATATTTCCAGCCCAACAAATGACTTTGTATTAGACTGTCGCAGTTTGCCTGCGTTAACGGTTACTGTCGGGATAAGAGCTCTGGCTCAGGCGCACAGATGGCTATAACAACAAGTGCAATCAGTCACTTACTTTCCTTAACATTCAAGTCAACAACAACATTTTACACAGCTTAACAAGCCCTGGAGCACAGGAATTTGGCAGGCGGCACAAGCCGAGCATATGGCTAAATGCATGCTGCCAGCAAAAACAAAATCAGAAGATATATAACAGGAAAGCGTTCTTAAGCATAGAGCGATTAGTGATTTGGAAGACAAATTTAAAAGTGATGGATAATCATTAATAATGCTGAATTTATAGAGAGAATCATTAGTAAAATGGTGACAAGACACAGCTTACTTATTTGCTAACCTGCTCAATGACTGGCTCTTTATTCATGTAATTTATTTTGGTGCTGATTTGGTTGGACAAGGAATAGAAAAGAGAGTAGAAATTAGGTTCCAACTATCCGCTCTTTCTCATGACTTCAAATATTCAAAGTCAAAACCTATGAAATAGATGAATTACCACAAGGCCAATTATACCAATCCTGCTCTGGAGCTGTAATGGGCAGATTTTTCTTAGCTGTTTGACAGAACAAGAGATAATTCAGCAAAGCATGAAAGAAATGCAAAATGCTAATATGTCCTTTGCTTTCCTCAGTTTTGAAGCTCAGCACTGTACCCTTCAGGGACTGTTTACTTATGGCTTTAGAGAGGTTTGTTTGAACGAACACTTTGAGTCGTCAGGCCCTGTGTAGCAATGGGACCATTCAGAGATGCAGGGGAAGCTGGCAATGCATCAGCTTGTCAATACAAATTTCAGCTGGGCTTGGAAACAGATGAGATGTGACAGCTCCTGATCTGTGCTTGCTTACACATCCTATTATCAGGGCTCTGCATTGCTCAGGTGTAAGGTGTTAGCCAGGAACAGGCAGATGTGGGTTTGCAACAACCTTTAAGAAACCACCTATTTCACACTGTGACTTGTCCCTGAACTGGAAGGCAAACATGGAAAAGTGTTATTGACTTTGCTGCGTAAAGGAAAGAGCAGCACTGATTTTTACTGGAGAAGCTGGTCATACGCCGATTGTTGGGAAGCTGAGGCAGAGCTATTAGGAGAAAAGCATTTGTGTAAAATGAGTCATCCCCAGCTCTGCCTTTTTGTTTGTGGATTAAAAGAAAGAGGCCTACATAAAACAAAATGATTCACGACTGAGTCTTACTCTGCGCAGACCCAGGCAAGAAAACGCGTGAGAAGGTAAAACCAGAGATGGAGCAATCTCCAGTGTAATAAAGGAAGCTAGAGCCAACCTTTCCTATTGCTACTACATTAACTACATAATGAGGTGGAAAAGAGCCAATTTCCACCACTATTCCCTTCATAAACAGTGGGGCTTATTTAAAAAGTGATGCATATTAAAGCAGGTTTTTTTTAATGAGGGGAAAAAAAATGGTAAATGCAAATTGTTTTCTTAGTGGAAGACAAGATGACTTCTTGCAGTCTCGCCTATTTTTCTGGCAAACAGGACAGTCCAAAACAAGTGCAATTTCCAGGAGAGGAAGCTTAAATCTCTTGCAGTAAAACATTCCACTGCTGTTTTCAGCAGTTCTTTGAAACAACTGCTGTGGAGGCCAAAAAAAGAGCCAGTGTGTTCCTGTGGGCTTAACGCATCTGCAAGTTAATTTTTCAAGAAAAGACTTGCAGATCTTCCGTGGGTACCTCTACCTATTTTATATCGGGTAGCAACTGGCAACTCTCCTATCTCCTCACTTGACAGCCCAGTTACCTACCAGGTAACCCCTCGTACTGTATCATGGCTGGTGGCCATCAGCTCTCCCCGCTCTCCTGAGATGGCATCAGCAGAGGGTTACCTAGCTATTTGTATTTCCCACCACACGCAGGCTGGCCTGCTCTGCTCCATCTGTTTGAGAAGAATTAGTTGCAAGGGATAAACTGAAAGCTCTAACACTAAAGTCTACCCTGAGCCAGTAAAAGTTTCTTCAGCAGAGAATCAAGTATTCTCACTGTTTCTGTGGTGACTAACACAGCATACACTCACCCATCTGTCTCCTGTCTCCAAGAGAAGCTGAGGTCAGCCTTCTCAGTGGGAAATTATCTGCATTGCTTTGAGTACACATTAGTGTTTTCAGAAACCGTTTTCCTTCGTCCATTTTTCTTCTCAACAATATCTATTTATTTCAATATTTAATCATTGCTTTCCTTTCCTGACAGACTAAAAAATTGTTCCAAGTTTGACTCAGATCATCTCATTAGCATGGTGCAAGCAAAGAGAAGACCTGCTAGGTTTGTGCTGGATCCTTGCCACGTAAGCCAAATCCAAGAGCAACATCAGCTTGGCTGGCAGGGGCAGGTACCACGCTCTTACCTCTCTCCAAGAAAAGAAACAAAGGAGGCTCAGGTGGTGCAAACCTTTGTGTTAGTCACTGCAGCAAGCAGATGGACTTGAGCATGTGATCTTGCATGAATGACTTCGGATTTTATTTCTATCCTGTGGAGAGCAGTTAGCTACTTCAGCCGATATAAATGTCTTCCGAGAAGAGTAATAGTTTAAAAAAATAGAACAACAAAAACTGATGATATATTTCTGAGGTTGCCTGCCTTCAGAAGCCTGAGGTTAACGGTGGAGCTGACAGAACTGTATACAAGTAAATAAATTATCAACTGAAAGCATATGTTTTCTTTTAATCCACAGAATGCTATGTAGAGTTAAGCCTTGCACAGTTACACCTCATCTGCAGGGTTCACTATAGCAATTTATGGAGTGTCTTTGACTTCACATTAAGACTCTGACCCTCCATGTGCTTAACTTTACACACTGGAGTTATTTCATGGAAGTTAATGTGACCATTCAGACATAGAAGTAATTGCAAGTTGCTGCACCATCAAAGCTTCACAAAATTGACAGAATCTTCCCTCTTGCTATTGAAAACTCAATCTAGTTTAAAAAAATCAGTCTGGAAGCAATGTAAAACATCCTATTTCCTTTAGGATTCTATCAAAATAGTAGTTTTCTTCTTTGGCTGGGAAGCTCCAAGAGAATATTTTATTTTTCTATCCCTAAACCCAGCAAACTATTAGTTTGCTGCCAATTAACATAACGGTTGTTCAATGTCTCCATTTGCACAAGGAGACTTGTTAAAAAGTTTTTGAAATGGCAGAACCTCACTCTTTTGGCAATATTTCAAATAACCACATGCACAGAAGAGCTTACATACATTTACATATATTTACTTAAATATAAATCTATGTGTATGCATACACGCATACATATACACATATAGACAGCATTAGAAAATCTAATCTTCCTTCCATTTCTGAGGGTCAGTGCTTAGGTCCAAGACACAGCCTGGGCGTGCAGAGACACAGCCCTTATCAGTGGGCTTGCTGAAAATGTGCTACGGATCTCCTGTCTCCCATAGGTGTTCTTGCCCCTTGATCGTCAGTTAGGAAGGAGGCAGCTGGACTGGATTCTCCTCAATAGCAGCTGCTGAGTTTGGGAAAGTGAAGAGACCAGTTATCAGTTATCTGAACACCAGGCTTAGGTGAGAACATCTACGCACCATACGCCACATTAGTCTCCCAAACATTGCTTTCATTTCTGGCATTCGGTCCCCTCAGCTGCTGCAAAGCCAGGATGTTTCTTTGACACATCAGCAGTGTTGTGATTGGTTTGAGCTTAAAATAGGCCCTGGGAATTAGTGGTATGAAATCATGAAAACTGCAAGTCTCTAAAGTGGGAAACAAATGGATCTTTTCGAATCAACATCTTTAATTGCTTATGTTCCTGTTCTTTTCTTTTCTGGTGTTATTCCCAAAAAAATAGTGGATCAAGTTTGAAGTTATTTTCCTCTTCCTCATGTGCTGATGAGGTACCATGGGAGATGTATGTTAAAGGAGGCTACCACACTGCAACTCAGTCCCAGCTTTGGGCAATACATGCATTTTACAGTCCCGGTCCTTTCAGGTAAGAGTCTCTGGTATTGTCCAAATTGATGAAGACAGTGAACACGGCAAGGCCAAATCAAAGGTAAGGATGAAAAAGAAAGGAACAGATGGAAAAGCACTGATCTGATGCGCCTGTATTAAAAACACCAACAACTAATAATAAATACACTGGTCAAATGCTGAGCTCAGATATACAAAGTCAGCCCCATAACCTTCATAACTCATGCTATTTTTAAAAAAAAAAGTTTAGCTCAGACTGCTGAGCCTTATCTAACAAAATGGTTTTAATTTTATATCATTTTCTCAGGTTCTCCTGGAAGGAAGTAAGTTTATGTATCAAAAAACTGGGACAGGTCCTCTGGGAATAAAACAGTTATAGTCCTATCATCTACTGAAACTTCAGAATGTGCACATACTCTCTTGCATCTCCACTGAACTAAAAAGCCTGGCTGTCTGCACAGTTTGCTGAAGCTTTGGATCCCAAGTTCCAGTCCAGAGAAAATTTTTACAGCTGAGTTGCATAATATCCTGACAAACTGTTTATAATGGAAGCACTGACAGATCCTTAACTGTATGGTTACAAGTTCTCTTTTTCTTGTCATTTCAAATACTAATATGAGTGAATGGCTTGGGGAAGAGGGTGATGCAACAAAATGGAATATAACTGTATTTTTCTGGGGGCTTCATGAATATTTTTAATGCAAAAATCAAGATACAGAAAAGTGAATCCAAAGAAACTGTCTAAGATTTTGGATTGTAATTTAAAAATACATATATTTTGAAACAAGAAACAAAGCTGTTATAATAGGAATAATCTAAAGAAGAGAAAACTAGAAGGGAGTGGTTTATATAGAGTGTGATTTGATAGGGAATTAATTTAGCATTACAATATGTTTTCATAAAAAAAGATGTTTTAAACCATAACAGCAGCTGCTAATACAGTTCATTTATCGCCTAAATGATGTCATCCATTGGGTTTTACAAAAAAATCTTTCCAAGTAGCAACATCTTCCTCTCCCCCTCAGTCACTGCATCCAAAGTCCAAGGAAGCCAGACTTTTTCAGCAGACTTCAAAGGACTTGGAGTTCAGATCCACTATGAGCACAGCGTAACCTCCACAGAAGGATAACTGAGACCTGGAGCAAGTCCCACATGGTGGCTGAGGGGTTGGAGCTGTCTGCGCCCTTGCCACCTCGCACCTTCCCTCCACAGCTCCTCATGCCTCCCTTGACGCTCATCAAGCCAGCAAATCCACCTCCGCAAATCTGCCCTTCTCCCTTCACAGTCCCTCTCTGCCATCATGTTGGTTCTCTCTAGCTGGCACTCAACGCCCACATCCATCCTTTCCCTCGGGGCAGCCACAGAGGCTTCAGCTTGGCTGTCATCTCCCGGACCTCACTGCTCTCTGCACCCCGTGCAGCGGGAAGGGCAGTGAGCATCACTACAACATCACGGATACAAACACAACCCCTCCGACCTCACAAAAGTCACAGGCGAGTGGAAATTTTTGGAGTTTTTTGGTTCTGCCACAAAGACTTGCCAAGCAGCACAGGGCAATCTGCAGACACTTCTATAACTTGCCTGAAGACGGGGTTTGATGGTCACGGAGCTTCCATGCAGGACACACCAGCCCTGGCCCCCACCTCCTCCCCTCACGTGGCTCAGCAGCCTTACTTGCATTCATGAGCTTGCCCTACTTCTTAGCAGACTTCAGGTCCTCAAGATGTGTTCTTCCCTTGTTCCCTTTGATTTTAAGGGGAACACCCCCAACTGCACACACACACACAAATGAACACACATGAGCCTGTGGGTGCAGACAGCACCCACTCTCACCTTTCCTGGTGCACACATGGTCCCGTCCAGCGGAGGCCCTTTCTTTGTTTTGCAGAAGTAGGGGTTCTCAGGGTGGCTACACCACAGCTGCTTGCAGGGATCAAACGTACGGAACTGAAACACAAGAAAAATCAGAGTGGACGATTTTGAGAGAACCCTCACTGGAAACTGCAATAGAAGCTGCAGCATGGTGGGTTTTTTCTTTTCCGGGCTGTAAAATGCCAGCTGTTATCACTAATTCCTAAGGAACATTGCGGTGTCTCTGGATTGAGCATATCTGAGCCTTCATGCAAAATCATCAGTGACTCTGAAGTGAGATCCCACCTGCATTCAACAGAATAAAGTCGGGGAAAAATAGTTTTACGCTAGTGACGAAAGGCAGACTGGGTAAGGGGGAAACCAGTTCCCCTGGGCAGTAAGACACACATTGCCTTTTCTTATAGCTTCTCCAAATGGTGCTGCTTCATTTGGCAAACAAAACAAAAAATCCTTGAGTACTCATGGGAGAAGGAAACGAGCTGCTCAGTCTGTAGCTCAGCTGTTGCAGTCACCTTCTCAGAAGGATGGAAATTTGAGCTCAGGACCCTGATCCAATGAATTTTACCTACAATGCAAGAGCTTGTATAGGAGAGGATGAGAACCACCCCCCACACAATATACTAAAACAAGATGTCTGGACATGCTTTTGGCTATTCTGAACAAAGAAGACTAGAAAGCCTCCGTCTCCCAGGCTCTGGAGAATGGCTGTAAGAAAAGATCCTCTTTGGCCAGGACATTTTTCCAAGGCAGCATCAGTGGGAATTCTGTCAAGACACAATACTACAGCTGATGCTTTAAAGGTTCTCATCCATTATCTAGAGACACCACTCAGCACACATATTCCTGCAGATGGGAATGAAAGCAGAAATGTTATGTGTTAGCAGCTGTCACACCAGCTGAAAACATCTCTTTCCATTTAATATTTTGTCCTTTTTGAGGAGCTGGAGGTTGGAGGCACAGCCCTGATGCAGAAGACTCTGCGTTCTGAGGCCAATCCACTGACAATTGCACTAACCTTGCCTTGCTTTAAATTTAGACTTTGTCTCTTGTTTTCATGGTACAAGAGAGCCAACCATGTCATCAAGAGTCCTTGCAAGTTGCTGCAGTCACTGTCATGCTTATTTTCTCATGCTAGGCATAAAAGTGCATCACGTTGCATAAAATTGGATCATAAAAGCATACTGCCCCATGTTAGCACTACAAGATGTGCCACCAAATCCATCTCCTTCACATCTGGGTGGGAGTTTTGTAGCAAAATATCTAGCTGCCAGCAATAGGAGGCTCAATAATGCAGCAAGGTTGTTTGCTTGAAGTCTACAGCTATTTATGAAACTACAGAATAATTATTTCTGTAACTCCAGTTTAAAAAAAAAAAAGACAGACATACTTAAAATAATGTATTTGTCAACATTCAGTTGTTATTCCTTGCTTACAGCTAAGTGGGCACAACATCTTCCCTTGTGGGCTTCCCTACAAAAAAAAATTGAGGACATTTCAGAGACACTTACAACACTCCTGGATGAGAAAGAGCAGAAGCCAAACTTAAGTACTCACAGCTGTGCACATCATGTAGCCCAAACCAAAATCAAAACGGCACTGCTCATTCATGGAGTAGTGAATTCCTGGCAGCTGTGGAAGGGAAGGCCAGTCATGTTCGAAGGGATCATCACGCAGACAATCATAGGAACTGCAACAGGCAAAAATTACAGTAACAGATGGGGCTGTGAGACTTGCACAGTGTTTGTGGTTTCATTGCCTTTTTCTTCCAAACAAAACAGAGACCATGATTTCTCAGACACTGGTCGTGAAGAGCAGCTAATATTGCAATTACACTCACATTAACTTTACCATGTTGTATCCATTTTTAATGTAATCTACGTATTTTTTTTTTCTGAAGCCCTTCTATTGTAATTTCCATGTAGCTTGCAGGTAAATTCCTCTCAGTCTCCAGGCTCCTTATGTGAAAGGAATCAAAGGAAGAATCCACATGAGACCAAGAAGAAAAGAAAGTTTAATTAATTTTCCATTTGTGGAATTTCTTGCTGCCTGCAACTGTCTTTCAAGTGAAGTTTTAGAAGCAGAGGCCAGAGTAACCACTCGAGATTACCACTAAGCTTGCAGTTTTCCTGTGTCTTTGCTGAGAAGCAGCAACTCATTTTCAAACATGTGTACTTTCCTGCCTGCATTAAATGCTCAAGTTTGTTCCCTCTGTTTCTCCTGATAGTTCTCAGCTCCATCCATAGTTTGTACAAAGTTTCCTTTCTGTATGATGAATATGGGAGTTTCGCCTCTCCTCCTAAATAGAAAGGACAGCCTCTAACATACTGGAATCACATCGAAGTTGTGTGGAGGACAGACTGATGCTAATATCACTGAATGGTTAACATTGTATAATCACTGGTTAATTCATGAGACCAACATGCTCAACAGTATCTCTGAAATGTCTCCAAGTTATTTAACAGACAGGAGGACACCATACACGAGTCTATTTCTGGCAAACATTCAGGTTACCTTGAAGATACCAAGAGCTGAAAGCAGAATTTTGAAGTTAGATTTACTTCAAAGCAAATCATTGTTCTGCTTTGTTATAAGATATTTTAAAATAGCTGTATTTAACAGAATGTAAAGCAGCCCTCTAGGCCAGATGATTTTATTTAATGGCTGAAACTCTAAAGGATCTTGCTAATTGAAACAATCACAATTCCCTCACAATATGTTTATTTCTTATTGTTATACCTAAGATATCTAAGATAATAAAAATACTGACAAAAAGATTGACTCATGTTTCCTTCATGCATTTTGCTGCATTTTTCCCTACTCATTTTTAGGTTTTGCTAGGTATCCTAGTAGTTTCCTCATATTTTTCTATACAATTTGCCCATAACAAGGGGAAGATTTTTTCTCTAAGTAGCAAAAATATGGTCATAAACATCAGAGTTTGTCAGGGAACTCCAGCGCAGGTCTAGTGCCCAAAGTGTCAGGTTCAAAGGGAAGGCAAGGGACATGAATGAAGCTGTTTAAATAGCTTTTGCATTTGGGGTACTTAAAGGAAAAGTAACAACTGAAGAATTAATTCTAGAAGCATGCTCTTTCTTTTGATATCTATTAAAGTCAAGAAAAGCCCTGAGCACTTAAAGGGCAGAATGTCCTCTTTAGGCAGCACCATCTCATCATTGATACGTATCATAAGCAACAAACGACTCTTGAAGCCAAATATAGTATCTGTAAGACAGACCCCACGCTGCTGGGTAGAATAGGCACTCCTCCAGCTAGAGGTAACATTAAGGAGGGAGGAAAGTTAGCAATGATAGTCGTAATAGTGTCTTCTCATAACCCCTGAGAAGACAGCATATGTACTACCAGTATCCAGAAAATGAATAGATGTAAATGAAATGAGAACAATTTAAAATGGACTGAAATCAAACTATTTGAGAGAACTTGTATTATTATTTGCAATTGATGGGAAAGCATCTTGTTCCCAGTAGGATTGGGGGGATTCTTTGTTTTACTCAGCCCCATTTGAGTAACTAACAAAAGGATAAAGCACAAATGCTAGATGCAGAATTGTTCTTACATGCTTCCTAATCAAAGGAGAGAGGCTGCTTAACAGCTACTCACTGGAGATATCGATTCAGCTCTTGCTGGCTGCAACGAGACCAGTGGAAGCGATGAAAAGCGGCTTGCACAAGGGGGGCCATGATGCTCCCCAGGCGGACTTCATCCCCACATCTGTTCCCTTGGCCGTCGTGCTCCATGCCTAAACTGCCCCACACAGGAGAGAGCCAGCACAGTTACATCGCAGGTGAACTCTGAGTGCCCAAGTGCTTCCACATCCCAAATGTCACCAGTGGTTGATTGAAACAAGGTTGTTAAGTCCCCTGACCCCTGTCCACATGAGCAAAGTCATGAGAAATAAGACAGGGTAAGACTGACGCTAAGGAGCTAGTCTGCAGTAGCTCCCACACAGAAGCATTGACCCTTGAGAGTACTTTCATGTGATTAGCTTAATCCACTTTCCAAATAGACTAAAAATGCCTTCTTTGGACTTCTGTAGACATCCACATTTGCAAATTACTACAGCTAAATGAATCCATTTCTGGATTAAGGATGTAGTCCACCCTCTATGAGTAGTAACAGAAATTTTAATACTCCAATCTGGAGCTATTCAGGAGTTTATCTAATATTTAAAAAATCACACCTTAGCTTAATTTGAAGCAATTTGCAATTATCCTTTGCATGGAAAAAAAAAAGATGCCACACTGAAAGCTAGTTTAGACTAGCAGCTGCTGTTGTCCAGTAGCAATCCCACATTTAAATGCAAAACAGCCTGGAAAGTATTGAGTGCTTTCTAGAAAATTACCCCAAGTTAAACATATTTAAAATTTCCTTTGGGCTTTATTATGAATATGCTTCCTCCTTTCCTTTGTTAGGAGCTAATATTGCATTTTTTTTAATGAACACTGTTTGACTAACATGGGCAATATCTGTCCATAATTTAAACCAAGTTAACAGATTGGGGCTGAATGTGATTTGAGGGATTACAAACATTCTTCAGTGGTATCTCTTTTAAAGCTCACTGTGTATTCTTTTTAATCCTAATTCAAAAAATTCTGGAATCAAATACCATCTGGGTATCAATTCTATGACCCTGTCTAATCAAGATATGTTTACAGTGATTTCAATAAACTTTGGCAATTTTTTGTTTAAAGCCATCAATAATTCTGATACAACAAAGAGAAAAGGGCCTGCAGGCTTTCTTTGGGAAAACAGAATAGATTGAAACTGTTCAGAAAAAGCCTCCTGGGAACTGTTGTTCTACCAAAGAGAAAATGGGAAATCAGTGGGTGTTCTCTGCAAACAGGGAAACTAAAATGCTCTGGGAGAAACCAAAGCTCTGACAACTGCTGCCCAGTCATTGCTTCTAATCACATCAGTAAGTAAAACAATTGCATTTTTATATGAAATATATAGAACAGTTGTGACCTCAGTGCTTGGCACCTCGTTTCTATACAGTATTGTATCCTTTACCAGCAGTAACATATACAGATGATGTGCTTATTTAATATGGATTGTTTTCAAGAATCATATATTCCACTGACTCAATGAATTCGTATTTCATCATTATGAGTACTTTACATTTCCACCAGGAGACTATAATACATCATTCAATCTACTTTCACAGCAGCCCTGGAATATATTTTGGTATTAGTTCCTTTTTCCACTTGAAAATACCAAAATATAAAGCTTACTTAAGATCATAAAGAAAGCTTTGAGAGAGCTGAGATCTGAAGCCAGAGCTAACCCTGAATATTATTTCTTAACATAAATTGCATCTTTCCAATGCCATCGCTATTTGTCAGTACCAAAGACATTTTAATGTAGGACACAGCATGTCCACAGTTTTACTCACACATGTCCAGTTTCATGAGCCACCACAAATGCAGATGAAAAACCATCTTCATGGTTGAGAGTGCAGCTTCGAACAGGATGACACATTCCAGTGACTGGAGCGTAGCCTGTGAGAAATACCAAGTGTTCCAGAAAACGAACAAGTACAGAAAGGCAATGTGGTGAGAAGCTCTGGGACAAACATCTGCCTTCTGTTGTGACACAAATATAGTTGAAGTGGTCCTCTCAAGAGACCTCTGCCCCAGAACATTTAATAATGTGCTCCCTCATCTACAAAACAGATGAAACTAGCTTGTTGAACAAATTAAAACTATATTCCTGGCTCAGAAAGAAAACTGTTGTCACCTCTAAGACCGTCCTGTAATTGCCTTCCCCAAGTGCATGAGGCAACAGGGGAAAAGGACATCACACGCTGCTGTGTTACAGTTCATGAGGAGCTCGGTGCAGTTCCAGCCCTCAGGCAATACGCGAGCAAGGCCCCAGCCCTGTGCTGACAGCAGATCTGGCCAACCCAAAAGGAACACAAAAGCTTTGAGATTTATCCCCTCCAGTGAACAAACCTGATCTCACAGAAGGCAGAGCCCTGAAAAAAAGAGAAAGTGGACAGCACTTGGCCCTGTTATTCCAGACCTCTCCATAACAATATTTTTTGGCAATCCTACTGGAACACGGCAACACCTTTGGAGACTGTTTAAACACCAAATCTATTCTTTAATCTTTGGGCATTTTCAGGACTGTTTTTAGTTCGAATCCCATTTTCTTGGCTTCAGCAAAAAAAAAAGGATCCAATAAATAACCCCACCAGTAAGAAAGGATAAAATAATAAGTGAAGCAGTTACAACTGAAAATGGCCCTATGTAGAGCCTTTGGGGAAAGAAAACATTGACCAAAACTAAGGAAAAGATACACAATTAAACTTTGCATGACTAGCCTTGCTAAGTGATAAACACAAATGCAAAACCAAGCCTGATATACATCTTACCTTGCATGCCAGATGGACCAAAATCCTGCCTCGTGAGAAAGATAGCGTGGTCGTGATATTCTGCGTGCCCAGTGTCAGGTTTCTGTTGCAAGTAGGCCCAGCGACACACGTTCTCCAGACTTTGCGAAGGGTTCCCAATCTCTATCAGACTCATAGACTGCACATGCGCACAAAAAAAAGACACCATTAGTTATTTATTAAAAACTTCGGCAATTTTTTTCCCAACTTGTTCAGGCACTTGACTAAACATCCCATTTCCATTACAAGTCTGTTCTTAATAAAGAGACAATTACACTTCAGAAACAAATTTTACTGGATCAAGAAAGTAAGAAAACAGCCAAAGTTCATGGTTAGATTAAATGCAATTTCCGCATTTAATGAGGTCTAAGATACAACAACAGAAAAATAAAAAGATGTAACAGAAGAAAAATAAAAAGATGGGTATAGTAAAGAGAAAACTGATATTGTATTGTGCACTGTGTGTTAATATTTCTATGCCACCCTGGCACCAGCTTGCACCACTGGTTCCAGTCTGGAGATGCAGTTTCTGAGGGAGCCCATGCCCCTGTTTGAACTGCAGTGGCTCTTGGCCAGTGGAGAGTAACCCAGCATGGGGAAGGGTAATGTCTAATGGTCCAGGGAAGCAAATCGCAACAACGGCAGACAGCCAGCACCCAGCCCTGGTTCATCATCTGCTTTGGTCGTGAAATCTAGCTGTTAGGGCTGTTTTGTCAGACCTTTGAACACTACTGGATGCTCTGTAAGTGTAAAAACTAAGTGTACTTTTTTCAGCTGTACTTGAATCATTACTTTCAGAAATTCACTTGCCCAATGACTGTCTTTTAAAGTGCATTTTCTTTATCCCATTCCATATCTGAAGATCATTCTGAATGTAGCACATGTAACTTCCCACTGTGATACACCATTCTCCCTATAAACCACGCATTACATGGGTGGTGCGCCGACACGGCTTAGCTGACTCAGATGAGCTAACGTGTGTTAGGGGTGGTGCAAAGGACAATTCTCTCGAACAAGAAAGAGAAAGGTATTTTAGAATCCAACTACTACATTTGCCTTTTTTTGAACTAGTACTTTCTTAAGAATTCCCAGCTAATTCTATTTAATACTGTGCACTGCTAAGACTTAAGGAAGCTTATTGTATGTGGGATGTTATGAAATGTATGACTAATCGATCCATCCCAGGCCTTCCAGGATTTCTAAGAATTACATATGTGAACCCTGACTTTTCATTTGCAAAAATTATATTACCATAACAACACTGTAATCATAACACAAACCACTACAGTTTTGATGCTATACTGTACTGTAAGCATTTGTCATTCCAAAATACTTAATGTAGAGCAAAACCTAGCCTGGGCCAAAAATAAGAGAGAAGTAACATAGTCCATGTTTAAATACAGATGTATTTGACGTGTCCTCTAATTGAGTGCATGATGGAGTACACAGAGTATTGACTACATGAAAAAGAAAATCCTCAAAGGGTTGTGGAAGAACAACTGGAATTGATAAAAGAAAAGTCTGCCAAACTGAGGTCTGATTTTGGCAAAACTGGGATATTACAATTCTGCAAATGTTCAGAAAAACAAATGAATAAACCAAATAGAGGCACAGTTTGGATTCTGATACCACTGTGGAATGAAAAAGCTGTAATACAATCCTACACTGGATCATAATGCTTCCAGCCATAATTCCCTTGGAAATTGAACTAATAACTGTATTTAAATGGTGGGACAGTTGTGGTGCCTTTATTGCATCTTTGTATATTTATAAGAAGAGTCTTAAACAAACTTTGAGTGACTATTACAGGGTAAAATCCTGGCTCTTCAAGCAAAAATCCTATTTGGTTAAACAAGGTTTGACCATTGTTGAGGTCTTTAATAACATCCATCAGTGGTAAAACAAAAACAAACAAGTAAACAAACAAAAAACCCTATCTACATCATCTCCACCTTGTTCTTATTTCTCCAAAGTTTCACAAAAGAAATCAATTTCTTCAAGGAGCTCAGTAAGAAATCTTACTTCAAGATTCAAAAAGCAAAGAATGCTGTAAAATGAAGTTGAGAAATCTCAAGTCATGTGTATCGTTTGCTAATAGTCCTTTGTCTCATAATGACCTCCTTCTGTACATTCTACCAAATGAAAATCATCACATCTTATAAGATGGATCGATCAGAAAACAAAGAAAAAATACACACTATCAACACGTGCTTTGTTTAAGGGTATCCAAATACTTGCAAAGAAATCTCTGCATGATCAGCAAACAAGCATAGAATATAAAAAAAAGTCAATCATTTCCAAATAACCACTGTTTTATAGCTTTCCTCTGTCATATGTCATCTCTTCCCTGCCCACTAAACTGAAACCTTGCCAGGGGACTCCAGCACAAAAGCAAAAGATTAGTCTCTGAATGAACCAATACAGCACCTTGCAGCACTTTTCTGATGAACGTCGAGTCTGCCAGAGACCAGAGCAGTCTGCCACAGCGTACCCAGCAGCTCCCACGGTTCGGGCACTGCATTGGCATCTGGCATGAGCTGACAACGGTTTTCACTGCAGACTTAGGTATACTTGCTTATTTATCAAAACAGTGATTGCAGAGTTTGTCTTCAAACAAATGAAAGGAGGACCAACTGGTTAACGTGGAGCATTTTCGGGTTTTTTGCATCCAACGAAATGGGGAAAATAAAGAAAATCCCTTTGGTATAAGAGGGCAAACAAGAACACACAAGTCTATAAACCATATTTCAGCTGATGGTCCAACTTCTTTGCCAATGACACAATTTTCACATCAGAAATGTGGCATGTGTAAAATTGAGCCCTACTGCTCTTTAAGTTGGGAAATGAGGCATCCAGTAGCAAGTCAATTATTTTAAGTGTCCATGTGCTACAAATATAAATAGCAAGTTGAGGTTGTGTGTCAGTGAGGAGGACTTCCAAAGAGTAAGAGGAAAAACACAGTCTACCTCCTGAGTACTCAAAGTCCACTGAAAACTCAAATCATCTGGCCACTAATCCCTTGTCTTTTTTCACTGTAATGTAGCAGCCTGAAAAGAGAAACCCACTTAATTCCTAGCAAATTTTCACCTGAATTCCCACTTTCTGCAATGTGTCAAGGACCTCCAAATCAGAAAGGCTCCAACAATACTAACAGTGAATACTGCATGGCCAGGCAACCACCAGTCTGGGGTCCCAGTCAACCTCACTGTGCTATGCAATTGCACTGGTTCAGACCAAAGAACCACGTAAGCCACAGTCCTCTTTTGATAGTAGGCAATGGGATGCCCAGGGAAGGGAATTTGAGGAGGGCAAGTATAACCTAGTATTTCCATCCAAATAACCTCCAAGGCTCCAGTGGTCTTTGGATCAGAGATTTCCTGAGCCAGACATGTCTTTATACTGCATTTTTATTCACTTTTCCAGCTGCCTCGCCTTTACAGATAAATGCTGCTGTCCTGCAAGAAAGAAGCTTAGGAAATCATAGGACCAGGCACAGCCTGTTAGTAGACAGGGCAGATGTAGTATGTTTTGGAAGGATGTTGTCCAAAATTTTAGTCTCATAGAGATATCAGACAACACTTGATAATATTTTCTGTCAGAGGTCAATGGGGAGCTTTCATCAGACTCAGAAAAGCCCAGTCCCTTATTAAATGGACAAAGTGAAAGGCAAAAGAGGAAAAGAGATGAACTGTGTATAGTAATAAGGACTCCCTCTTTGTCAGACTGCTAACAGAGAAAGTTGGGGAGCTCGCAGGGTGCATACGGAGAAGAGGTGTAGGTGTTAGTGTTGGCCAGCAAAGAGCCCACACTGCCAGGAATATGCAGGTCCTGCAGCTGGCCGGGAGCTCAGACCTGGCTGGGAAGGACCTCTTTCCAAACAGGACAGCAGGCCTGTGGAGAGCATTACTCAGCTGATCAGCCGGAAAACTGCCAATGGCAAGAGAAACTTTCCTTCTCACAGCAAGAAAAGCAAAAAAATCTGCGGGCATTTCAGAGAACTGCTGATGGAAACAGATGGAGGATGTTGGCCAAGAAGTGGAAAGGCCTCAGCTGGGAGAACATCCTCCATGCAAGGAGTCACCACAGAGGGTTACGAGGACAGCCCGCCCTAGAGAACCAGCCGAGAGCCTTGCTCTGGGAAACTCAACATCTACTAATGCCTTCCATTTTCCTTCTCTTTTGATTCTGCCTTCATTTCTTTTCTACTCCCTTCCTTTTTAGATGGAAGCAGCAGAAAAAACTAAACAAAAATAGAAGACAACTGAGTTGCAACTACCATTTGTACAAAGAGGCAAAGGAGGGCAGCAGGAAATGGCTGAAAGTAGTTACTACGTAGATCCAGAGGCCTTCAAGCTTTCTTTGCTACCTGTCTTGTCTTTTGGGAAGTTATCAGTGATGTTCAGTTCTGTTATGAAGACACTGAAGAACAAGTCATTTATGAAGCTGACTGGAAGGTCCTTCAATACTTGTGGAGATTGTTTGGAAAAGTAAGAAATACGTAATTTTTTTTTCTTTAACAATTTCAAATACAAAGTTATCTTAGAAGAAAACTGCAAATGTAGTCTATATTCTACCCAAACTTTTCAAGAATGTTCACGTTGCCAGTCCATGTGAAAGACATGCTGGTATCACACACAGAATGGCAGCTTTCCTTAACCAACCGTTTTATTTATCTGCCGTTTGGCATAACGGGGTACACCTTTGCAAGGGTGTTGATGAGCAGGTACTTGATGACAAGAACACAAGGAATTCAGGCTGGTCAGAAGCTTGCAGGAAAAGGATCTTTCCTAGCTCATCCATTAGGTGGTGCTCCAAGAGTACCAACCGAGAAGGCTTTGCTGCTCTTCAGCTGCTCCAGAAGGAGCAGAAATATGCTTAACTTGATAGGCTTCAAACTATGGTAGCAAAAGTTGGACCACAGCAGTGCACACATGCGGGAAACAATTTAACATATGACTTTCCTTTCTTGAATGTGTAAAGTCTCTGCAAAACACACTGTTTAACATTGCTTCTACTTGGCACTTGTATTGTTCATTGTATATTGGATTAGATCTTTTATATTCTTCTCTCATCCTGAACAAGACAAGCAAAAAACAAATAAATACAATTATTGAGTGTCCATGGTAACCGAACAAAAAT